AAATATTAATCAGATTTTTTAAGAAACAAATCTGCTGCTCAAAGTGGGGCCTTAAGTGCCACTATAGTTTAACTATAGTGGCACTTAAGGCACTTATATTTACTTTAAGTAAAGAGAATTTTTAATTGAAACGGGATTCAAACATATTTTTACAGAACATAATTCACTTAATTGCATTAACAGGACAAAAACAAACTTCATATAATGTTAAAGCTGATCATGAATGCAGAGTGAATGTATAATGAACTGGATAATTAGTGTAGATTCGACACTAAGAGTAGAACTATTAAAACTGAATCAATACACTTGTTCAGAGCGAAATTCGAGCACAGCTTCGTTCAGTTAAAAACCAACAAAAAAACTCCCATAGACAAAATACACCATATTGGACCAGCTAAAGACAATTAATTGAAACAATTCAAATCTTAGTTCACTTAACATTACGTGTAGGTATATTCTGTCTTTAAGCATTTATTTTTTCATTAATGTTATTTACAGGGTGATCAACCCAAGGAGGCCACCGTTGGGACATCGAAAACTGCTGGAATTGGAGAAAACATTAAACGAAAGACATTCCTTTATTTTTGTGCCAGTTAAAAATATGAATATAGGTTTTCGAAATTCAGCCCCCATTTTCTAAAATGGAGGCCAACTTTGAAATTCCTTATAGAACGGTCTATATTTTATCATGTTTTCAGATAAAAATGCAATTTAAAAACTTTTTAATTTTCAAAATGTTTTCTATAAACCTACTCGTTTAGGAGCTACAGCCTTTGCAAAAATGACTTACGGTGTAAATTTATCATGTAGCTCCTAAACAAGATAAGAGTTTAGAGCAAAAAATGCGAAAAATAAATAAGTCTTAAAATTGCATCTTAATTCCAAATAGACTATAAAATACAGTTTACGCCACACTACATTATTTTGACGAACTTCCCACGCAAGGATTTAGTCCAGAAAACAGCTGTTTGCCGCCAGCTTATTCAAATGAGGTTTCATTGCGTAATACTGTTCTGCAATGAGTTTTGCCGGACACCAATCAGCTGATTATACTGTATTTGCGTGGCAATTAGTGGTTATAAACAAAAACATAACCTCTCTCAGAGGTTATGACTAGTGATTTTTAGTCCTTTAGTTGGTGGAAATATATAAGGATTTGTACGGATTAAGTAGTATGGCGTAAACTATCGTACATAACTCGTCCAAAATGTGTGTACCGGATTCGTATGGTAATCCCGTACTCGACTTCGTCTCGCACGGGAACGACCACACTCGTCCGGTAAACACTTATTTTCAGGACTAGTAACGTAATATACTATTTTAAGTTTACTGCCATTTTGGCAGTAGCTATAACAGTATAGTATGACGTAATAGTATATTACGTTACTAGTCCTGAAAATAAGTGTTTACCGGACGAGTGTGGTCGTTCCCGTGCGAGACGAAGTCGAGTACGGGATTACCATACGAGTCCGGTACACACATTTTGGACGAGTTACGTACGATAGTTTACGCCATACTACTAAATCCGTACAAATCCTTATATATTTCCACCAACTAAAGGACTAAAAATCACTAGTCATAACCTCTAAGAGAGGTTATGTTTTTGTTTATAACCACTCACTGCCACCTAAATACAGTATAATCAGCTGATTGGTGTCCGGCAAAACTCATTGCAGCACAGTAGTACGCAATGAAACCCCATTTGAATAAGCTGGCGGCAAACAGCTGTTTTCTGGACTAAATCCTTGCGTGGGAAGTTCGTCAAAATAATGTAGTGTGGCGTAAAAGGTTTTACAATAGGGTTAGAATTTTCCTTTTTTACAATATACAAATTGAAAGAAGTTACTTGTTCTATACGAACACTATAACAGGCAAAATATATCTCTTCTTATGGGGTTCATTGAATACGTTAAACATAATTACAAAGAACCGAACATTTGATACCCCCCCCCCCCCACCGTTTCTCCATTGACACAGAACATGGTCCCGCGGCGTACAGGAGCATCACCAGCGTGTGGTGTGATGTGATATCATCTATTACAGTAATTGGTCCTTCCCACGTTGACTACGGGCCCGACTCTTGTGTCTTCTAAATATAACACAGGACAGGGAACAGTTTTAATTCCACTACATCTAAGCAACCAAATGTTTGACCAAGAATATCTACATGACTGTAAATAGGGTAGAAAGTCAATTTTTTTTTCGCTGTGAAATTAATAATTACTATATTTCCCATATGGGTGTCGGTGCGTTCTATGGTGTATTTTTTGCCTAGAAGACTAGAGTTGGAATCAGGTTAAATACAATTAGCGTAAATGTGACATAAATGTGAACTAGATGTTCGGAGCCAACTTGAATAACAAGCGATTTATTGTTAGTGGTCAATTTGTTTTTGTTTCATCCCTGTTGAACTCCAACTCTAGTTAAATCTGTGAAGTAAAAAAAACCTAATAGTAAACATACAACCACTTACAACTGTCTACAAAATTGTTAATTTAACTTTTGTGTTTGTAAAATAAAATAAAAAGATTAATAAATTTGTAAAACTTAAATCACAGCGCGCTCATAAACTATGAAGTAAGAAGGTAAATATTGTTTAGACTTTAGTAGGCATATGCTACCATTTATCCAACTATTTGCGAATCTGTACACAATAAACGTTATTCGGAATTTTCAAAAGAAAATAAATACGTACCCTAACTACTAATGTAACGTGATCTGCGAAGTGATTCCACAGTTTAACCGCACGTAAACCGGTTAATCTCCGGTGGATGTAGCTATTGAACGCTGTGTTGCGGTAAAAACCACTCAGTCAGCCTCGCTAGGGAAGATTTAGGTGTACCGCAGCGTTGATAGTTTTGCTCGCTACGAGTTGCTTGTTTAACGAGGCTATAAATAATCTATTACACGGTTAAAGCTTGTACTTAAGCGTAACCTACAAAGCTTAGCTTTAATTCAGATATCAGTTGAAGGATTAAAGTTTAGTATTCTCCACAACTAGATTTAAATGAAATAGAGTTTTTGTTTTACGTTATAAGAAGAAAACTGCAAAAACCTTTGCGTAGTTTATTACAGATAAGATGAATTTGAACCTATGTTACTAATTTCTGGAGTTTATGATTACAAGTTATCGCACAATAAAAAATAAAAATAAACAATAAAAAATGAAACCGAGTCAACAGGTATAAGTAGTGTGGTTTTGACATTTTCCACTTTTACTGTTTTGTCAAAATTTACGTTTCTCCCTCTTATGTCACACAGTTTCATTTATTAAGTGTTTTGCATGGTGTGCATTATCAAGCTTTGAGTCTGGATAAAACCAGACATCCTCTCTCCTTTTTTAATTTGGAAAAGCTTTAACCATAGTAAAATTACATACATAATTAGTTCTAGGCAATTTTATCAAAATAAACATGTCTTCTCCATGCACCAACAAACCTGAAGTACTAGCTACACTAATTTCATTTGTAATAGAAATGGTATCACGTAAATCATTCTTTTCCCATGACTTAGTTATAGAAAATGAGAAAACTTCTGAAATAATTTCGCAGTTTTGTCGTGACTTGGGCGATTCAATTCATACACTAGAATGATAGGTATAATGTCAAACTAACACTGTTGCCTTTCTAACTATAACATTGTAATTATTAACTTTTTTAGAGAACAAACACATTTTAATGATTGCAATATAGTTTCGGCACATACTTACCAGTATTTTAGAGCACACTAAACCTAAATTTATAAGTACAATGTGGAGTTAACCAAACGAAAATACAAATACCTTGACGAAATTAAAACTAATTATGCATGAGTATTGTTATATAACTTAAACTACTTTTTTGTAATAGTTATTGGGACAGTTAGTGGGATTAAAACGTAATATTCATCATTTATACTATTTTGACATTGAATTAATAAGGTGATTTTATAAAATGTATAAAACTTATTATAATCTAAGAAAAATTGTAAAAGATTACTAGTCGGACATTTTGTAATAGCAGGCTTTTTGTTAATGTTTGCAGCACAGCATATCATACAATAGAAAAGAACAGTATATACGGTACCTTATTTCTTTACTGAAGGGACTTAAGCCACAGTTATAAGGTGTGTGAGTGCGCACGCGTATGTGTAGCCACGATAACTTTTGTTAGGTCCTTAAATCTTAAGGATATTTGACGTTTAAAACACCTTTTTTGGTTAGCAATACCTGCATAATTTGACAAGAAGTATACGTGGAAAAGTGTCATAAACGAATATCAAATTTAACTTTTTAAACTTGTATAAAAAAGAAAAGAAATGTGTTGAAAATAAAATAGCCTCAGTGGTAATACGGTGAAGAAATTATATTTTTGGTCTTCAGGTAGTATATTACCTTTGACTATAAATAAAAAAACTTCTCTATCCAATAGTCAATGATATTAGTAGGAAAATGTAATAAAATTTGAGAAATCTATGAAATACATTCTGTTGCAGTTTGCTTTTTTTCAGCTTACAGTATTTTAGGCTATTCCAGTTTGCTTCATTACATTTTCCCCCTTATCCGTTGTTTCATATTAGACATTTGAAGCTTATTTAAGGAAATATGTGCATTATGTTCTTCATAGAACAAAAATAAGTTCTATTTAAGCCATTCTATACGGATCGTGGATAAAACCTTATTAAATTCAATATTATTTAAAACATAAATAAACACCATTATTTATTCAAATGACAAAAATGTTGCTTTTGGCTGCAGGTTTCCTGTAAGGGACCTATTTTGCTATTCTGACCAACTGATATCTAAAAAAAAAAATATTCTTAACTTATCAAACTGATCTATAAACTTAACTTTTATGATAATAAATTAAAGATTTAATGGTATTAAAATAAATGATTTGGTGGTTACACCTGCATCAGTTAAAAATAAACTGAATCCATGACAATTTTATTAATGTTTACAATATACTACATACCTTTAAATTTACTAAGTTTAAAAGCTTAGAGCAAAAACTGTACACTACCTATAAAGCACAGAAGAATAACCGGTCTCCAATCCATGTTTGTAGAACTTTAAAACTCGTCACAGAACAATCACCACACACAGACACGATGTTCACTCACGGTCGCGTCGCTACTAACTAACTAGTGTCGTCTGCTACCGTGCAGAGCGCTAGTGTCGCATCGATTTATATCACTTTAACAATTGGGTCAACTCTGCCACTCACAACCACATTGTTATTGGTTTTTGGACAAATTTGTAATTAAAATAAATCACACAAGGGTGTTAATCATGGCAGAATGTGGTGTAAAGAAAGTTCGCAGCCAAATTGAGATAATTTAATTATGGTGTAAATCACTAGTTTTCTCACCTTAGGTTGTTTTTCAATTTGCAGAAAGATATTTGTTATCAAATTCCCTTAATGTTATGAGTGAAGTTTTTTTTTTTTGTATGTTGAAAATGTTTGTATTTTTACTTGTTATATTATTTTGATTTTAATCTGCATTAGTTTTTTTTTTGTATAATCCGTTTTTTTGGTAATATTTTTGACAGAGCCCAGCATTGTTTTAGAAGCGGGCGATCTATCACCACATCCTTTCTTAGCTTTTACTTTACTTACTTGTTACTTGTTGTGCAGCACAGCATTTTGTAGCTCACGCTGTCCTTCCGCCCCAGCTCCCACAACGTTGGTGCAGTCACCGACTTGAAGTCCCCTGGTCGCTATGGCCGCCTGTATCCCCATATCCTAACTGCGTCGGGGTCGTCCTCCCTTTTTCTTCCAGGGAGGAACCCATTCCAGAGCTTGTCCTGGGATTCGGCCATCCTCCATACGATTGACATGGCCAAACCAAACTAACGGTCTCTTTTCCACTTCCTCTAATATGTCTCTGAGAACTCTTCTTATATTTTCGCTCCTCACTCTAAAATCTTGTATTCCTACAACTCCTCCTAAACACATACATTTTTGTAGCCAATGAGCTATCCCACGTCCCTTTAACTCAAATACCAAACTTCTTACCAACACAGCACACAATCAGGGGTTTACTATAACAACGCTGGGTTTAAATGCTTTCAAGTTACCCTCTCAGTTTTTATTCTCAGCATGCATTCTTTCTTCAGAACAACAATAACATAATACAATTGTTCACACGTACGTACAATTATTAGAACATGTAAGCATACTTAAATATACAGATTAAGCTATGATTTTGTTTACTAATACACACTAATAATAATAATAACTATCACCAGATAAAAATAATTATTTATATTATAATTGCAATAAGCACAATTAATTCTCAGTTAAGTTCTGATAAAATTCATGGTATGAATCATACTTCATTAGTTAACCTATTTTCTGTTTGCAAAAAATATATCTGACGATTTCAATTACTGAATCGAAGAGTTTAATTAAAGTCTGAATAAACTTTGTGCAACTTAAACGGAATGATTGAGAATAAGAGTTCTTGTCTTTGAAAAGGTTTCCCGTTCAATTACTTTGCTTTGTATAAATCAAAGATTGTATAAATAAAGTTTGGTATTACGTCTATGGTATTACTGGGGTTCTAAAATAAAAAATTAAGTTTTATGATTGGAGTGGGTTTGCGGATTCCGTTTAGTAACACGGATTAGTATAGTAATATTCATTGTGTTCTTACGTACTATAAATGTTTGTACTTGAAAGTTTTGTAGTGCAGCATCCACAAACGTTAGGGAAATCTTGCGGGTAAAAGGTATAACTTTACAACTGGGGAAAGTTTTTTTTTTCATTGTTTTGGTCAGTTATGTCTAAATTAGTTTTACATGTTACCCATATATAAAATGACTACCATATTAATCGGTGTAACTCTATTCAAACTATGAATTTTCCAAATATTTAAAGCCTTGTATGAGTCTTTAAAAACCACCCTCCCCTTTAATGAAAGAACACATGTTACCAATTGCCAAATACGATCGGTATTCTTAGATGATTTTAACACATTATAATGGTTTCCAAGAATTACATTGGATATGAACGTATAGTTAAATAATTACACGTGAGAACAACGCAAACCTCATTAAACCACTTAAGAAAATTCAGGAATTGCTTAAATGTTAATGTAAATTGTAAACTCGTTATTCACACCTTCAGATACATGTCACCAGACGACCCTGAAAATCTAATATTTTTTTAAAAGGTACATACCGACTACAGATACGTATGCTACCCCAAAGCAGTGCCATATATCAACAGTCTAGGGTGGACAAAATGTTCATATAACTAATTGAGACCACAATAATTGTAATGTTAAATGGTTTTTACATTCCCCCGTTTTAAATTAAATATTTAGTTTGTTTTCCAAGAACTTAAATACAAGCATTTATTACTATTATCAAAGTTTATACATCTATTTGTAATTATTTTTGAATGAAAATTGAATACGATACAGGCGTTCCAGTTACATGAAATGAAAAAGTCCCAGGGGAAATCAATATGATTAAACACTCTCATTCAGCGCACTACGATTGAGAGTAGTTAATAATTATTCAAGTGTAGTATATCAACAACCTACATTTAAACGATCTCTAGTTTTTTTTTTTATTGTGTCCAGGCTTTCACGGATAGCCTAACCACTGTTGCATAGGTTTGGTCCAAAGCATTTCACTTCTGGCATCTTCACTTCTGGGCCAAGACTGCTTACAAAATAACCACTTTGGTTTACTCACAACTGGCCAGTATCTATCTTATGCACTTTTATGGCAGTAAATAGGTCTGTTTGATCGATATCTTAAAAGAAGATTTTTCACCATTAGATCTTGTATGTGCGCTGGTTTCTTTGTTTGAGAAAGACCTACCGTGTGCAACTACTTGAGTGGGTTGAGTGTTTTTTTCGTTTTCCCCCAAGCATGGGCTGTAAGAAATTGGCTCCTCTCCCACCGTTATTTTTAGGTCTTCTTTGATGTTTTAGTAATTGATTAACTTAAGCTTTCGTTTCTTTTGTTAGTACTTTTTCATTCGAAGTTTCTTCTTTGTTAGTTTTGCGACTATTTTCTTCCAACTTGTCCAAGGCCGAGCCAGCGCCATTGACGCAAGCTTGAGGCTAATCTTCCGACGCGTCATTTATGATTCTGTTACGGAATTTTTTTTTTTTATTGAGCCGGCGATTTTCCCCAATTGTTACCAAGCTCTCACACTTAAATGTTTTCTTTTATTTCACATAAGCAGTCAAAACCCACTCCGACAATTTTGTTCTCAACAAACTCGTCAATCTCCTTATCGCCGTCATTGCAAAACTATTTGACATGGTCGGCTGCATCGACTATTTTTTAATCTCTTCACTTAAATCTAGATCTTATCTTAGATACTATGATACCAACTTGCGCATTTTCCATCAAAGCCAAGATAATTTAGTTTGTTATCCACAATTTTGAGACTGCACTTGGGACATTTGATTTCCCTTTCTTTCGCTTTGTGTTTCGTCATTTTTACATTCGTAACTCATGTAAAATATACCGATTATTTTATGCAAAATAACATTTAAATTTGTCTTGGGATTAGGATTACATTTATAACATGGATAAACAATTGTATTACACACATTTAACAACTTATAAACATAAATATCTCGATTTCAACTATTAAATTACCTTTTCAACGGACTAAAATAACACTGACTAGTACGCGTCAGCCATCTTGGCTTCTCCACCTGGTAACGCAGCTCTTTGTTGTGCAACACCCACCTAAATTTAATTTTAGTAACATTTTTATCTGGATTCACTCATAAATAATTAAAACCGTGTTTAAAGCTGTTTTTATCATCCTGAAAGTAATTAAAAACCATTTATTGTATTCACTGTATTGTATTCATATCTTTATAAATAATTATATCTATATAAAACTGCACTGCCTTAAAAAAAATTATGAAATATCTAACGTGATAATAACTTTATTTGCTGAAATCAATGTGTTATGTGGATTATTAAGGATTGCTTATTTATATTTCTAGGAAATATGGGATTGACAATAGGATTTTTAGATAAATCTTCCGTGTTACGACACTCTCAAGCTTACTTCTTAACTTAATACATAACTTAACTAGCAAAGATTCCAACAAATAGTTTACAGTTTTGAGTTCCACAACAGGCTTTGCAAAACAATATTAAAACGCAGATTTTAATGTATTCACTGGGAACTTTCTAAAAATCTACTTTTGGAAGTAATAGATTTTAGAGTCAGTAGCTCATTAAAGAACCTCTAAGCCTAACCAAACATTATCATAAGTACTTCGTCAGAGAAAACTTTGTTTGCTTACTTTTGCCTTATCCATCACAGGTTTATTACGTCTTAAGGCTCCTTGAGTAGTGTTATATTAAACGATGAGCTTGCTGTTCAGTGATTGTTAATATCCTGGTACAGATAAGTGGTAAATGAAGTAGTTACGATTGAAATCATGCATTATGGTCATTATATAATATATTTTGGGGTCTCAGATGTTTTTATATTTATTTAAGTTGGAATCAACCTGCCCCTTTAAATGCCCAAAATATCAAAAATATTACATAACAAAGTGTTAAATTAAAGGACTAAATTATTTAAACTAAATTTCTTTAGTACTAGAAAACCATAACAATGACCTGACTACAAACTTCTTAAAATACTCTAGCTTTAAAACTCCTAAACAAATTAGAAGATTATATAACAACAGTGGTAATATAATCATACCAGGGAAAGGTGATTTTTTATATCATTCATACCCAACTAGAGTAGATAAAACACACTAAAAATCCCCCTACTGTTAGTTCCAGACAACTGTAGTTGGCTGGATAAATCATTAATTTATTAAAGAATTAACTATTAATTCAGAATAAAACGAGTAAATATGTACATGGAATTAAAACTACTATGGACTTAACATCTTATTTCCTAAAAAATCCCAAAAACCAACACGACTAGCCTTAGTAAACAAATATTTACCTTGGAATATTTTATGAAAGCATTGCTCTTTATGTTTTTTTTTTTTTATGTTGCCAAGTTATTTTAAGGTACATTTTTTTGAAGTAACTCGTATGTGCTTTCGGTTTAATGAATTCATAACATACTGCTAATTAGTGTGACATTTTGAAAACACCAGAGATTCATTAGAACCCCCATCCT